GTGTGTGTGTGTGTGTGTGTGTGTGTGTGTGTTACTTTTAAATTAAAAACTAAAAATGATTTTTTCAACATTTATTTAAATGAGATTGTGTCCTATGTTAGTACTATGAAGAAAATAAAAAAAAATTCTAGTATGTAAAAAAGAACTCCCATTTACCATGAAAATAATAAAGACCAAAATAATTAATATGGTCATCCACAAAATTGAAGAGATATTATGTGGTTTTAAGAATAGGATAATAATTTTTAATAAATAATTATATTTATAATTAAGTGTTTATTTGTAAAACTAATTATGTTACTGAAAAAATATTAATTTAGTCTTCCACTTCAACATAATTAAAGGTGTAATTGCTTGGCCTTGAGAATATGAGAGTGAATTCTTAAGAAATAGTTACATTTATAACTATATATTTATTTATAAAAACTAATTATGTTTATGGTTGAGTTACATAAAAGTTAAAAAAAAAGTGTAGTAAATGTAGCTTTGGGAATAGGAGAGTAATTATTTAATAAGTAAATAAATATATATATACAAAATTAAGTGTTTTTTTTTTAAAAAAAAACTAATTAAGTTTATGGCTGTATTACATAGAAGTTAACAAAATTTATTTCAATATAATAAATGTAGTTTTGGAGGGAAAAAGAAATCTTTTCCAGCTGCTTAGCTTTAATATATATATAGATATAATCATAAACCTCAAAAACAAATTTCATGAGCCCCACGTCGGGTTGCAAACAAATCGAATCAAATCGAATATTAAAATATTTGATTCAAATTCGTTAAAAGACTCGAAGATTCGAATTCGTATTCGATTCGTAAACGAACTTATTTTCTTATTCGTATTCGACTCGTTTAGAATATTCAAATATATTCGATTCGAAATTTGTTTCCAGAAAAATATTATAATTAAAAAAAACAGATTATATTAAAAAAAAATATTTTAGTGCTTTTTCCAATTTGAGATATTTTCATGGCAAATTGTTAATTTGAGATGTTTTTACTTTTTATGTCATAAAAATATTAGGAAAATAACAATATATATACATATATATTAAAAACAAAGTTCATACTATATATAATTTATAAAA